ATCAGGGGTAAAAACAAAATGGCCTGAACAATCCTAGATTGAACGTTAGTACTTTCCGGTTTTATCCTGACTTTACAGAGATTAGGGTAAAAACAACATGACCTGAACAATCCAAGATTGGACGCTATTACTTTCTGGTTTTGTCCTGACTTTACAGAGATCAGGGGTAAAAACAAAATGGCCTGAACAATCCTAGATTGAACGTTAGTACTTTCCGGTTTTATCCTGACTTTACAGAGATTAGGGTAAAAACAACATGACCTGAACAATCCTAGATTTAACGTTAGTACTTTCTGGTTTTGTCCTGACTTTATAGAGATTAGGAAAAAAACCACACGACCTGAACAATCCAAGATTGGACGGTATTACTTTCTGGTTTTGTCCCGACTTTACAGAGATTAGGAAAAACCAATCGACCTGAACAATCCTAGATTGAACGCTAGTACTTTCTGGTTTTGTCCTGACTTTACAGACCGCCATAACAGAGGGTGAAGACCTATCATAAGAACCAAGTATCTGAACACGACTGTTTTGGTGGTAAGTCTATTCTGGTCACGGGCATCATACGCCTTAACGGGAAGACTGATCTCTATACCTTTGGGAACGGCTCTTGGGCAACTGCGAGGTACAGGGACGAGACCGAGACGTTACGTGAAGTCACCCCACCGTTGTGAAATACAAACATCGCTCCCGAGTCGGGAGAAGTTCATTCGGAGCAAGACTGATCCACGTGGAGTGTTCCGGGGATCTCCAGACATAATCTCAATGTCTGGAATTCGCTTCAGCTCTACAAGCTAGGAAAATACCACTGGTTTATCAGAGACTGTGTTGTTGAACACATCCGCCAACAAGAACATTTCTTTCGTTAATTGTAACTTTCTGATAAAACAAAAAATTCATATACTAAAACTTATGTAGAGATCTATTATTAAACTAAAGCTGATGTAAAGATCTGTTATTAAACTAAAGCTGATGTAAAGATCTGTTATTAAACTAAAACTTATGTAGAGATCTGTTATTAAACTAAAGCTGATGTAGAGATCTGTTATTAAACTAAAACTTATGTAGAGATCTGTTATTAAACTAAAACTTATGTAGAGATCTATTATTAAACAGAAGCTGATGTAAAGATCTGTTATTAAACTAAAACTTATGTAGAGATCTATTATTAAACTAATGCTGATGTAAAGATCTGTTATTAAACTAAAACTTATGTAGAGATCTATTATTAAACTAATGCTGATGTAAAGATCTGTTATTAAACTAAAACTTATGTAGAGATCTATTATTAAACTAATGCTGATGTAAAGATAACTGTTATTAAACTAAAAC